GAAGGAAAATTTGGAGCGTTTGAGTGCATATTTTTTATTCTTCTATAAATTTCCTCCCCCTCCAAAAAATTTCAGGGGAAACAGAGAACAGGCAAAATTATTTATAAGACAGATATCAAAGGGTCAATAACCTTAATATATAGACAGCTCTTAATAGCAGTAGAAAAGGTGAACACATCAATAAGTGAAAGATACGAAGAGGAAATTTACTGTCTTGTAATAATGGTAAATAAACACATGGAAAAGGCTCGCTGTAATCAAGGAAGAGCAAATTGAAATATTCTGTCAAAACAGCAAAGATTAAAAAAAATACAATGCCCAGTATCAGCAAAGATATAAAGGGATGAATGTTTCCATTCATTATTTGGTGAAACACCATTGAAGCTTTTGAAGGGCAGTGCTTAAAATGAATCAACTGCTTTTACACATTTTTGATCCAGAATTTTACATTTCAACTTCATCAAAAGGAGATTTTTGAGAATGTTAACACTCAGCTACAATACATTCATCATAATATTGCTTATAATAGCGAAAAGAAAAGGAGACAGAGAGAGAGAACAGGAAGGGAAGGAGGGAGGGAGGAAGGAATTTGGTTACTATGTGCTTGGCCTGTTCCCCTTTGGGTTGATCCTGTGTGCCTCCTGGACTTGGGTGACTGTTTCCTTTCCCAAGTTAGGAAAATTTTCAGCTATTATATCTTCTGGTATTTTCTCAGGTCCTTTCTCTCTCTCTTTCTGGGACCCCTATAGTGCAAATATTAGGGCTCTTCATGTTGTCCCAGAGATATCTTAAACAAGAAGGAAAGAATTTGGGCTGGAAGGAAGGAAGTGAGGGAAGGGAAAGAAAGGAAACAAATCAAAACATCTGAATCGTAACAACCTAAATGCTTAACAATAGAGAACTTGTTATATAAAGTATATTTCACCCTCAAATAATTAATATTGTGAGAAAGAAGAATAATGACTGATTTAGGAAAATGTTAACGATACAGCTTCCTGTGTTAAAAATAAGTTACAAAACAGTGCCTTGATGATATTTCTGTTTTAAGCACATACATTTGTAAGAAGAGGAAGACTTGAAAGACACACATCAAAATGTTAACAGTAGTTACCTCTGAAGGAGACCACTGTTAATTTTCACTTTCTTCTTTCTGTTACCAAAGTTTTCTACAATCTTATGTCCTTTATGTAATAAGGAAAAAACCCCACCACAGTTATTTCCATTTTAATTTTAAAGTTCTTGTGAGTTATTTAGGCCTAGCATGCATCTTAAGTTTAGCATTTTGTTGGTCCTCCAATCACCAGGCTGAGCTCACTCCTGGCCAAGAAAATATCTTAGAAATCTTCACACAAATTCTATTTATGCTGGCCACACTTTTTCCTACTCCAGTATTCAGTGTATCTTGCCAAGAAAAGATCCGCTTTCAATTGGAAATCCATTTGCAGAGAGATTAGACTAAAAAGGAGATACTGGGATGTGAGCTGAGAAATGATCCATTTTAACGAACAGTAAATAAAAAATAAACATTTTTACTAATACAGTAATGAAAAACATGCTAGACCATCGTGGTGGTGGGTGGAAACATGAGAAATGACTATAAACAAAAGCAAGTGATTCTTAACAACCTTACTAAAATTCAGTTGAAAAGCCACGTGAGAAATCTGTTTCCTGGTTTTATAGGCACATTTCTTTTTTGAAGCAAAATTTTATTTCCCTGCTTGATCTTCAATCTGATTCCCTGGGCATGGCTGTGGTTTATTTTTTGTTCACTCTCAAAGGATAAAACTTTGCCTCCTTTGAAGATTATTTTTTTTTTCAAACCAAACATTAGTCACGAAAGCAGTTCTAAGAGTCCCAGAGAGGGGCTCTACTTCCCAAGAGGATCAGAGACAACACTCACTCAAATGTAGACGTTCTGGTGTGTTTGTTTTTAAAAATCTGTCCAATTACCCAAAAGCTGTACTTTATCTTAGAAAACACCTGGTCCTCGGGGCTGCTGTGGGCCCCTTAAGGATATCATTGAATTGCACCTACGGTGTTCAGATGAGGAGGAAGGCAGAGAGAGGGGAGCAGAAACTTCCAGAACAAAAGCCTGCTGTTTCCTTTCTCACTGGTTAGAGTGTTGCATCTGTTGGTCAGAGGTACCGAGTGCAATTTGGTTGCATCCTTGGGGGTTTGATGTCACATGAAGATGACGGACTGTCACTTTCTGCAACTCAGAATGAAGAGATAGAAAGGAGCATCTCGTCTGGTGGTTCTTCATCAGGCTCCACTTCAGGATCACCCGGGAGCTTCATCCAAATGATGGCAGCTTCTGATGGCCAGACACCTGCCCTGTGCCCTTCCTAGCTCATTTCATCCTCACAGCAGCCCAGAGAGCAAGGAGTTATTTGTAGCCCTATGCTGCTGACAGGGGGACAGAAACTCAGAGACAAAGTGCTCAGGGTCACCCAGATGGCCAGAGATGAAGGCAGTTTGGACCCCAAGTGGTCTACACCAGAGGCTTTTGCCCACGTCTCTACATTGCTTCCAAAATAGGGATCCCCTCAGATCCTCGGGTCCCCTGACCCCGAATGCCTACATCACTCTGATATGTGTCTGATTTGGTGGCACTGATTTCTGCTGCTCCCCCTCATTTTATAGACAGGAAACCTCAGCTCAGAGAGATTTAGCTACTTGCCCAAGGTCACAGAGCACGTTAGAGAGCCAAGCCTTGAACACTGGTTCAAGAAAAAAATGCCCAGGACCAGGGAAGGAAGAACACAGGCTTTAGAATGTCAGTGTGCGCAGCTGACTGTGTGATCACGCGTAAGGCACCTCTTCTGGTTCCCCAGGTGGCCCCTCTTTCTTGCACTTCAGGGGCTTTTTGTGTATCTGTTTCCCCTTTGCCCGGGCTTTCAGAGGGGGGTTGGACTTCTCCCACCTGTTTCTGAAGGGGCTCCTGCCAAGGCTGTGTTAGTCCAGGTTTCTATCTTTCAGATCCAGACAAAAATAGAGATAAGTGGAAATTTACTGCAGTTTTGTTTGGTCAGACAGAAGCCCCAGTGATGTGGCATGGGGTGGGGATCGAAGTGAAGCTGCCACCAGACGTAACTAAGTGGTGAAGATTTTCATTTGAGGGCAAATGAGGTTCTTCCAAAGTTGGTCCAAAGTTATCTGCAGCAGCTCCTGGTAGACAGTCAGCTTGACATTGCCCCTGCTCTACCAAGTACGCAGTTGCCTCCAAATAAAACTTACAAGCTGCCTGTGGACTCTGGCATACAATGGGCTTCTTTGAGGCATGGTTGGGGGAGAGATTTGATTGTGAACTTCCCTGAAACTGCTGTTACCCCAGCCCTGTTGTCCTAATGGGAGAAGCTGGCACCTCTTCTCTTCTGTACAGACGGCTGGACTTCGGTAGATGGTGCTTTTCCCCATGTAATACTGCTCCTTTGTCACGTCAGTGGGATGATGGGAGAAAAAGTGGTTAACACAGAGATGGGCCAGGCCCACTGGACCCCCAGGCAGGCCAATAATCTATGCCCCCTTCAAACTGACATTCTTTAAATATTTGCTCAACATTCATTTAGAGGAAAAGTTAGGTGCTACTGAGGAAAAGGAAGAAAGCGAGCTACTGAGGTATCTCTCCTCCTTGCAGTTAAGCTCTGGCCCCTAATCTGCATCCACAGTTACTCAAGTATGTACCCAAGGTCTCCTCCCCACCTCTGTCCTGAGTTTCCATATAGGTTTGTGTTCTTTAAGTGCAATCAGCATTTGCCACAGTTCATGGCCATGGTCATGTGGAAGTCTGCAGCTACTTTAATAGACTTTCCCCTCGATCACAATTCCAAAGGTAAAACCTTCCAAACCTAATTGTGTACAGCTAAAAGAGTTTGTGTGTCTGGAGACACATACCTTGTGCATGAATCCTGAATTGTCTTCAACTAAGTGAAAACAAATCCGTAAAAAATATATTTATTCTTAGCAAATTACAGCTGTCTCAAGTACACCACTTTGCTGACCTCAAGCTTATGAATTTTTAAAAGGTTGATGCTTTGCTTAGAAGATAATTTCTAAGTTTTATGTCAACAGACAAGAATTTTTTGGTCTAGATTTATTGAGAGGACAAAATATTTTGCAAGAGCTCTGAGCCCCATTACCTTCATTTAGTTTTCTTGCAGTACCTACATCTGTCCCTATTAACTTCGGATAAAGATGAGTGCCAAACATCACAACGTTATGTATAGTATGTTTCCAATCATGTAAAAGCTAATATGCATAGAAAAAATTCTGAAATAGTGTTCCTCAAAGCATTAACAATGTTTATCCCTGGAAGTTAGGATTATCAAGGATTTTCATTTTTCTAAATGCATTTCTCTGTATTTCTCAGACCTCTCACACCAACCTTGTATTATTTTTATGTCTTTTTTTTTTTTAATGGCAGTACTGGGGATTGAACCCAGGACCTCGTGCATGCTAAACATGTTTTCTACCACTAAGCTATACCCACCCCTTTATATAGAGTGTTTTTGTTTGATTTAGGGGGGTGGGTAATTAGGTTTATTTATTTACTTTATTATTTTTTTAATGGAGGTACCCAGGACCTTGTGCATGCTAAGCATCCATTCTAGCACTGAGCTATACCCTCCCCACTACGTAGCGTATTGGCAGGGGAGGATAATTTGATTGATTGATTGATTGATTTTTAATGGAGGTACTGGGGAACCCAGAACCTTATGCATGCTAAGCATGTGCTCTACCACTGAGCTATTACCCTCCCCCTCCACTTTTATAATTAATAAAAATAACAGTAAATATGAGCAGAAAATAATTTACATCTTGAGAAGCCAGGCTAGCTGTGCTGAGGACCAGCTCTAAAAGCTGGCAAGTCCAGAACCACAGGGATCCCAGCCTTGTGTGGGACTGGGGAGTATGTAAGCCCAAAAATAACAATCCAGAGACCAGCAGGGCTCCTGGATCCCATCCCTGCGCTCCTCTGAGAATGCATGCATCGTCCTCACCTTTTCCTCCCTCTCCTTCTGGGGCTGTGATGTAATCTTGACCTCGTGTACAGTGTTTCCATAGCCCGCTTCATTTTCCTCCAAGGCTGCTCTCAGCCCAGAGTCCTCCACTGCTATTTACAGGAAAGATGTTGTACCTCCACAGCCTTCCTACCCATGTCTGCTCAGAGCCTCGGGAGCCATCTAAGCCCCGCCCCTGGAGGGTCCCCATTTCAGCTATAAAGCTCTGCCCAGCAAAGTGGCTCAGGGGATAGGCCACCTACCGCTAGGAAAACCTGGACGCATCAAAGCCTGCATGGGAGAATTCTCCAGGAAGCACTCTCTTCTTTACCCCAACTGACCAGCTCCACTGGTGTCTTCCAATGGCCCTCCGCCTCCTCTACCTATAATCTTATAAAACCTCTGAACTTTTCTGGACATTTTACCAGTAACCTGGGGGGACTGCAAACCACCTAGTTACATCTGTAGGACTCTGTACAATGGGCCAACGGAAGGTATGAAGCCATGGTAGACATGATGCCAGGATTTCTTACCTTAGCCCTTTTGACAATTTGGACCAGATAATTTCCTGTTGAGGTGCAGAGGGATGCCCTGTGCACTGTAGGGTACTTGGCATCACCCCTGATCTCTGCTCACTAGATCCCATAGCTCTCCTCCCCCAGTTTAACAACCAAAATTGTCTCAAACATTGACATTATCCCCTAGCGGACAAAAATTGCCCCCATTTGAGGGCCACTGCACCACATCCATGTCCAGAGATCCTGTTTGAATTAACGAGCCTCTTCTTGTCACACCCACACCACATAGCGCTGACAGCAATCCAGTGGATGAGTTTCAAGACCCCCTCAGTTGGTACACACGTTCACATCTTGTTTTTTGCAGGTGCCTCAGTCAATGAGCCCAGCAGCACCCCACTTTAGTAGCGACAGTTGACATAGGTCAAGTGCTCATTATGAGTTGAACATTTAATCATATCATCTTATTAACTGAATATGAAATGAATATTAATCCATCTTACAGGTGAACACTCTGGGTTATGGGCGGGGTGACACAGCCAGCGGGGGCAAGCTGCGATGGGACTCAGAGACCGGGCTCTGAGAGTGCTCATTGTTCTGTATTCTACTCTCACCTGCCCCCGAGAACAGGGAGGGAAAGCAAAAGGCATATCCTGGACACAGGAACTGGTGAAGTAGTCATGTGTAGGCCCAGGGAACTCCCAGGAACCTACTGGCCAAGCTCATTGCCTGATCTTGTAGTAACTAGCCAGGGAGGGCTTCCAAAGAAACCTTGCAACAACTCCAGGCCAGGAAAGGGGTGGAGAGGTGTGGGCCATGTCTCGGAGACAGGATGGTGGCCAGCTTGGTTCTGCCAAGTGAAAGTCTCCCCTCTGGCTTCAGCTGGGCGAGAATTCAGACAACACTTCAGCGGGCTTGTATGTCCTGAGAATTATGCCCCACTTGACCCCACCCCCCTCTGCGGCACTACCATCTTCTCCCGCTCTGTCATGACTCTTATTTCTCATAGCTCTGACCTCAGAGCCATTGTTCAGCCTTTGCAGATAGAAGCCGTCCTCTCCGCTTTCAGAATCTCTGTGTGGTCCCTTTATGTAGAGTTTAATGTCTTCTTTTTAAAGGAATCCATAGGCTTGTGACCTAAGCCGTCTATGAAAACCTTTCAGCCCGGGGACTGGACACATAGTACAAGCCTAACAAATTGTTAGTTTCTTTCTACTCTAAGCCCCGGTTTCCATTTAGCGTTGCAATAAGACCCCCATGTTTGTGAATTGCATTGCAGGAGTCCCAGTAGGGCCATCAGCCACCTCCTTTCTGGCCAGGACCCCAGAAAGCTCAAGCCAGATGCTTTGAATTTCATCAACTTGGAGTCCTGCTAAGTATCATTTTATGTCAGGTTTTTGCACAGTATTTTAAAAGTCTCACTTGTTAAAAAGCTGGTTACTTTTCAAGTCGGTAAAAAAGGTAGAAACATCCAGTCTAACTCTAGGTTGTCTCTTCTCTCTTCTTTCAGAGACACATTTCTAAACTAGTTGATAATTTGGTGCTAAGCAGTTACACTTGGCTCGGAGATGCCACAGAAATGCTCCCTAGACCCAGGCGAGATTAGGAGAAAGCAGGGTGAGCTCATTCAGTCCCTAACCTCTGCTATTTTGTCACAACAGGAATGTAAACTCTACTTTGGAGCTTACATCAGCTTTTGGAGGGTTTCAGCAGGCTCCCTCAGATAAGACTAAGGGTTATTTTTCTTGTCCTTTTAGCCAGAAGTAAATATTTATATCAAGAAAGGATTGCCAAGACTTGGAAAAATATTTCAAGTATTTAATCAGCCCTATAAAAGGATTCACTGTGATTGGTGTTTGTATTGACTAATAAATTTTAATCCTGGTTTTATCCCAAATCCATTAGACAGTCACCAACTGCAGGGGAGAATTCTGGATACTTCTTCACCAGTCTGAAAAGAATTACATTGATTCAAAATCAAAACTTGTGAGTGTACACATTTGAATGTCTGGTTCTAGAACATGGGTTTGTTACAACCAGCCTAACTATGAGGGGAGGGTATGGCTCAGTGGTAGAGTGCATGCTCAGCATGCACAAGGTCATGGGTTTGATCCCCAGTACCTCTGTTAAATAAAAGATATCAATGAAAAAATAATTATTCATTTATTTTAAATAAAAAAATAATGAAAATAAATAAATATTACCCAAATAGGTAAATTAAAATTTTTAATTAAAAAATTTTAAAAAATTTAAATAGTTAAAGTGGTAAAAATAAAATAAAAAATAAAAATAAATGGCTAACTAGTTTAAGTTACACTTGTAAAAAAAAACAAAAAACAAAAAACTAGCTGGGTTGACCATGGGCAAGTTATTTCAACAAAACCTGGGTTTGAATTCCAGCTCTGACTTTCATTAGTAGTACAACACTAACTCAATTAACCAACTTCTCTGAGCCTTGGTTTCCCAAATTGTAAATAAATAATAATAATAATGCTATATGATCCAGCAATCCCACTCCTGGGCATATATCCAGAGAAAACTATAAAAAAATAATAATAATGTCAAATGAGGCCATGGATATATAGTGTTACACAAAATCAGTATGGATATAGAGATACATATAGATATATATGTAAAGATGTATGTGTGTGTGTGTGTGTAGCTATATATGCATATGTATACATACAGAGATTCACTAAAACTTTTCATTTTCCTCGGAATTCATAATGCCTAAAAAGATGTTGGATAGAACAATCTAGTTAAACAATTAGACATTCTGAAAATTTTAATTTACTATTCTGATTTTAAACCACACATTCAATGTTTATTTTAAAGGCTTGGTTACTCGTGGGATAATGTGAAATAATGTTCATTAAGTGCTGAGTAATGTACTTCCACGCATTCTCATTCGTTCCCTGCACAACCTCATGCAATGATGTCACCATCACTGTTCACAGATGAGGAACTTGCCCCTTCCCACATTAGTAAGAGGTCCTGGGATTTGAACCTGGGTCAGTTTGACTCTGAAGTCATCTGGCCCTGCTCTGTGCCTCTGTACTCATTCTCAGGGATGCTCGGCTCCCAGGGCTGGGGCGTTTGGCAGTTTCTCGTAGTGACACTCATTGATCTCCAGATCCTGATTTAAATCAAGCCTCTGTTCGATTATCAGACTCTTGTAAAAACAAATGCTCTAGATCAGTCTATGTCATGGGTATGCACTGAATTCTGAAATAGCTTGGTAAAAGGCAAGGAAATTTCTATTTATAGATCACCTAAAAATTCCCTTAAGGTCTGGTTTCCAGCCCCCGCCCCTCCCTAATTTCCTCCCAGCTCCAGGCTTCCATCTCCCTGCCTGCCGGATGCCAAGGGGTGAAATGGCCGCGGGTGGACCGAGGAGCTGGGCCCTCCGGCGTCCCCGGGGCGGATGATGGCCCCATAAACATCATACCGCCACCGGCCTTGGCAGAGGGGACGTCGAGGTTGGCATGGCCTCTGAGCCAAAGGTGGCGCAGCTGAGGAGGGCGGCTTTGTGCCCTGCTTCCCCGTGGGCGTTCCAGGAAGGAGTCAGATGATCTGAGTTATGGAAACCAAATGAGCCTCCTTTGTTTAGAGAGAAAGGGGGGGGGGGAAGTCACTCATTTTTGTGGTGAAGTGAAACCAGGCTCCAAACCAAACAATCTCTCTCAGAGCAGAAAATGCCAGCTGCCCAGCGCAGGCCTGCAGCCTCAGAGGCTGATGAAGTGATGGGAGGCCACGTCTCCCCGCTCCTCCCAGGGAGGTTCCCCTCTGCTTTGCTCCAGAAATCGGTGGTCTCCCAGGCGGGAGAGGAGGACACCTCACGCACTCGGTCCTTTCGGGTTGGGACGGAGGGAAGGAGAGGAGCTGTCCGTGGGAAGCCGGGGAGGGAGCCTGTGCCCGGGGGCGTGGCCGCCGGGCGCCCCGCCCAGCTCCTCCAGGCAGGATGCAGCCCGGAGTCACGAGGCCTCCTGTGGTCGCGCTGTGGCTGGCCTGGTGGCTCTGCGGGCTGGCTCTGTGGGAAGGGATCTGCGCTCCCAGGTATTACCAGTGCCTGTGCGGCAGGATAAACCGTGGCCAAGAGAAAATAAATATAGGTTGTATTCAGCCATGTCTGTCCCGAGTTCGCTTTATTCTCTAATACGAGCCTTTCCGGAAATGGAGAGGCTCCGGGCGAGGATGCTGGAGAATTCAGTTCTAGTCTCGTCTTTGCTTCGGACTTGCTATGCAACCACGGGTTGCTGCGGCCCCTCTGAGCCTCCATTTTGCATTTGAAAAATGAGCCCAATGATTCCTGCCTTGCCTTGGTTCACAGGGTAATAGCGAGAGCAGACCAAGCGTGGCTCTTTTCAAGAGGTGGCAGCCAGACTGCCCAGGTGCAGATCGGAGGCCCCCTGCGTGACGCTGGGCAAGTGCCTTCATCTGCCTATGTCTGTTCCTTGCTTTAAAATGAAGGGACTAACATCCTTCCGTGATAGCACTGCTAGAAGGTTAAATTCCTCTATGTGATGTGCACAGAGCGCTCAGAGGGCACCTACACGCAGCATGCCCCCGCAGGGGGCACTGTCATTACCGCCACCATGGATGGGAAAGCACCCTGAAGATAACAATGCCCAGTTCAGGCGCTATGTGCTCCGCTGCTCTCCTCATAAGCTTCGTAATTGTACTCAATACACCCTCACTATTCTGGCAACATTCCATAATCTGCCAGTGCTTGTTCTAAATATGAAAGGGAACCTCCACTAGCTTCCTGTTACATTTAGAAAAAAATCCTAAAAGGCCTTGGTCATCTGGTCCTGATGCCTTTTCTAGCCTCATTTTGAGCCACGTCTCACTGAAATTCAAAGCTTTGTCTCCCTTCTGTTAGCTCTCCAGAGATCTGGGCTCCTTCCGGCCTTACGATCTGTGTGGCACTGCCTCTTTCCCATTCTATTCCTTCCACCTGGCTTTCAGATCTCAGCTCACGGAGCCTTTCCTCAGGGGAAGTGTTTCCCGACCTTCCAGATGAGAGTCAGCCCCCTGCTTATTCTTCTTTGTGCTCACCACAATCTAATTGAATAGTAATTTGTGTAATCAGCAGTATCTTTTTTCTGCTTTGTTGTGCTTTCCTCATTATTCCTCTCCCTTAAGAACTCCTATTCACCCATCAAAACCCAATGTTGATGTCATTTCCTATGTGAAGCCCTCCCTCATTCTCCCTGTTCACTTCACCCAGGAAGGGTTAGTCATTCTTATTAGAATTCTAAATGAAGTGTTGATTAAGTGGCATTTGACTAGAGGACCTAGAAGTGCCTGCATTTTATTCTGCTAATTATCCCTTTTCCTTAAACTATACACCCAAGGAATAACGGGGGGGGGGGCACTTCTTACTAGCTAGGTCAGTGTCTGATGTCCCCAGGGCATAAGTCTTGCCCACAGCCCTAAATTCAATAGATAAATAAAACAGTAGCCATTTAAAAAAAAAGTGAGGTGCTTCACCTGCTGTGTTGACTGCCAGGCCTAGTACCATGTCTGGCACGTGGTAAACATTCAAGAGAAAGTATTAGTAAAAAATGAACATATTTAAATAAGCAACAAGGATTTATTGTACAGCACAGGGAAATACAGCCATCATTTTGTAGTAACTTTAAATGGAGTATAATCTATGAAAATATTGAATCATTGTTGTACACCTGAAACTAAGGTAATATTGTAAATTCACTTTATTTCAATTTAAAAAGACTTGTGCTAAAGGGCTAAGATTAAATAAGTGTAATATTTTTACTGCTTCAAGAAGAATGAATGCGTTTAATAACTCTCTCTCCTGCAACTCCTTTAAAATTCACGAAAGCACCGACTGTTTCTCTTCTCAAAGCCTGTGTCTCTAGATCATAGTAAGCCTTCAATAAATATTTGTTGAGTGAATGAATGAATGACTCAGAATAACTTCCGTAACTTTTCCCCACTTGATGATCTCTCTAGACATCGGGGGGGGACTGTAGTTGACTGTCCTCTTCCTCCTCCTTCCATGGAGACTCAGCGCTTAGAACTCACATGTGTCCCCCAGCTCACATCCCATGTGGCTCTGCCCCCTTAAATCCAGGCATGGAGTGCATGAGGCTTCCTAATCTCCACTCAGGCAAATGTTTAGTATCATTCAAAGGTCGTTAGAAACATTCGGTTTCGCAACAAGTGCCAACAGCAGCACAGCATCCTTCTATTACGTGTGGATTCTTGTCTTCCAGTATAACTCTCTATATTCACAGCTTGTTATTAAATATTATTCATCTTGATATCACCTACAAGTCCTACCACAATCTTTCATGCAGAGCATGCACCCAATCAATTTTAAGTCATAAAGGAATGACTACAATATGCTGAATATAAAAAATTCTCAGCCTTGCTTCCGACTTTCAGAATCTGGAAACAATGAAGGTTTTAAGGAGTTCGAGATTAAAGCTGCTTAAGTTTCTCCCGGTCATGCATTGGGATAAGAGAAAGAACTCCTCCACCTTCAGATTGCCCTTAATCTAATCCATCTTTCACAGCTACACTTGCTAAAACTTCCAAAATCATCACTTCAAGTTATTCTCCAAAAGCCTCCAAAGTTCTTATCATAGCTTATAATAGACCTATATCCAAATCCCTCAGTCTTGCTGAAAGAACTTGGACCAAACTTTTTCCTATACTGATCGTTTCAAATCCTACTTACATCCTACCCTGGAATGTACCTCGTGTCTGCTTTGTCTTTGCTGATGCCATTCCTCCCACCAGGAAAGCCTCTTCCCTGCCTCTCTGACGCGGCACAGCTGAAGTTTTATATTCCCTGTGACCTCATCACGTCACCCACCTAAAAGGAGCTCTCTGTCTTCTGAAGCCAAATGATATTTTGACTTAGCCACTTCTCATATCTGCCAACAAACTTTTTTCTTTTTTTAATTGAGATATAATGACATATAACATTATATTAGTTTCAGATGTATAACATAATGGTTCAATATTTGTATATATGAGCACCATCATAAATCTAGTTAATATCCATAACCACACATGGTTATGTTTTTTCTTGTAGTAAGAACTTTTAAGATTTACTCTTTTAACAAATTTCAAATATGCAATACAATATTATTAACTATAATCACCATGCTGTACACTACATCTCTGGGACTTATTTTATACCTGGAAGTTTGTACCTTTTGGCCGCCATGCCCATTTCCCCCATCTTCCACCTGCTTCTGACAACTAACAATCTGTTCTTCGTATCTATGAGTTGTTTTTCTTTTTTAGAGTCCACATATAGGTAAGATTGTATGATATTTGTCTTTGTCTGACTTATTTCACTTAGCATAATGCCCTCAAGATCCATCCATGTTATTACAAATGGCAAGATTTCCACTTTTTATGGTGGAAAGGTATTCCGTTGTACCTATGTATACCACATTTATCTGTAGATGGACATTTAGGTTGCTTCCATGTCTTGTATTGTAAATAATGCTGCATCAGCAAACTTTTTCCATGACTATGGCTTCTCTCTCAAACTAGACTTAGACCCGGAGCTCCCTGAGGACCAGTCTAACATCTTTCCATTTCCCCTCAGTAATGCCTGGTTTGTGGTAAGAGCTCACTCTCTATTTGCTCCCTGATTGACTCAACTGGACATATAGGGTCAAGTGCTGATATTCAGGCAGGAGACCTTGAGTTCACACTAATGGATTTTACAGCTCAAGACTGGTTTCTATTTCAAAAGTTCCTACTTTTCTAGGGTCTCCCAGGACTTGGTTGACGGTCTCTAGGAGTCCCTGAACATGAAATTATAAATTTGCCTCACTCGTCTTAATCCAGTGACTTCCTTTTTGCAGATGAGAAGCCCTTCGCTGTGGAAGATACTTATTTGCTGTGTCCAGCACCTATCTTAAAGGAAGTTGGCATGTAAGTTTCTACCTGCAGTGAAACCTCACAGCCAGGGAGGAGGGAGGAGGTAGAGGGGGACAAAAGAAGAAGAAAGAGTCTCTCTTCATTGTCATTACAGAGCCTTTCTCTAGACTCCTCCAGATAATGAGGAAGGCGCCGATGCTTACAGTGAGCCAGGCATGAGGATAAATGTTTCACAGAGGGTACCTGACTTTAACCTCCCAAGATCCTAGTGAAGCAGATTACACACCATCCCAATTTTACAGCTGGGAAATCTGTGGCTGAGAGAATTTAAGTAGCTTGCCTGAGGTCACACAGCAGCAAGTGGCAGAGTATGGGTTCAAACCAAGGTCTGTCTGGCTTCATCACAGCTACGTGCCTAGAAAGCACTCAAGCTTCCCAAAGTTCTCACACATGTTACCTCACCCTGGCATCATAATTGCCCTTCTAGAGGGTGATCTCCTTTCTTAGAGATAAGGAAACTCAGAAAGGAAGCTCAGAAAGGCTAAGTGGGTCAACAGCTAGTTCACGACCCCAGATTCAGACGCTCTGAGGCCAAGCTCAGTGTTCCCTCCTCATTGTCTCCGCAGAGCATCAAGTCCACCCAGACTGCACGAGGCGCCCAGAACTAATTTCTGGTGAAGACCTCATGGTGGTGCAGTTACAATAAGTGCTAATGAGAAGTGATCAAAATATTCAAAAGAAGGAAGAGAATTAGCACCCTGAGCAGGAAAAGAAAGATGCGGGGAAGCAGAGAAGCAATGTTTATGACAGAACGCACCCTAGCCTCTCTGTAAATGTGTCTATGACAGGCTGAAGAGAGAATGGTGGCTTTAAGGAAAAATGCTATACTTGTTCATCTGAATTCTGCTTTCAATCATTTGTTCAAATCATAAAGCCTCCACCTCTGGTCACCTAACATCAGCCTGTAATACCACGGATGCCACAAACTAGCCCTGTGTCCGGGCTGCAGAATGCAAGCTTGTGTTTCAGTGTTTGTCTTACAGATGGAGGAGGTAGACAGCACATGAGGTCATCTGCTGCTGTCCCTCTGTGAGCTAGCTGAGTAGTGACAAAGCCACCCCCATCGGAATCTGATTGCAGAGAGTCCTGACAACCACAGTAGAGTTTACAGCTTGATCAGTTTATCCCCACTGATTTGGACCATTTTTGAAGATAAATTAGGAGTTTGGGATTAATAGATACACACTACTATATATAAAACAGATAAACAATAGCCTACTATATAGAATAGGGAACTACATTTAATATTTTACAATAACCTATAATGGAAAAGAATCTGAAAAAGAATATATACTGTATGTTTGTATAACTGAATCTCTTTGCTGTACACCTGTACATTATAAATCAACTATAGGTCAGTTAAAAATAAAAAAAGAAATCTTCTTCCTACTACAATGTGACAGGTCAATGAGAGCAGCCTCTGCCCATTCAGTGCAACTCGCCACAGAGTAAGGAGGCTGAATCCGGGGCCTTGATACACAAGCCAGGCATATGCTAACATCTCTCTGGAATGTTATTAGAAGTGGGTGGGCCCAAGACACCATGCTGCACATTTTACAAAGGAGACAGCTCAGGCCCCAGAGGGAGAGACTACAGTCCCAAGGGTAAAGGGCAGAGCCATTGGGGGACCTGTGTGTCGGGCCGTCGGCCCCTTGCTCAGCACTCCTGGTTCCCGTGTCATTGCAGGAAAGCAGCGCTTCAGGTCAGCATGAATGACGGCCTCTCCTTCATCTCCAGTTCTGTCATCATCACCACCACACATTGCGTAAGTCATCGCCTTTCCCTTGACTGAGAACTTCATTGGCATTATCATCTCCCTGGAAGGTTTTCCAGTTCACTGAGCTTTGACCTTGGCTCTGCTAGGCCAGCCGCGGGCTGGGTCCGGGGAGCTGCCCCCCAGAGTGTATCAGGGATGCCTGTGCTTCTGCGGGTTCCCCATTTTCGTTACTGGGGGTGAGACCTGGACACGCTGGCATGCCAGATGGTAAGATGGGGCCAGAGTCCGTGCCGTATTGAGGGGCAGTGCCTGGGTGGAATGCATTTAGGAGAAAATGCACTGAAAGAAATTGTACAGCCTGTCCAGAAAGCACATCTTGGGTAGTTTTTCCTCCAAAAGGAAGCAGGGAAATGGAGTAGTAACTGAAGGAAGATGTGAAGTCTAAAGAGGGTCTTTTTATTCTAAATGGGAGAAGTTGCAGCTTGTTTATATGATTGTGGAAATAATCCAGGAGAAAATGGAAAAATCATGAAGCAGGAGAGGAGGGAGAAGGGGCCCTATGCCATCGGGGTTGTGAGGCAGGGTGCCGACTGGTCCTCTACCAGCCACTCCTTGTCCCTGGAGCCTTTGTGTCAGGCCATGTTCATTTCCGTGTAATAAGATCACCTGGAGAGCTTTTAAAGAATATGGATGCTCTGACCTCATGCCAGACCATTAAATGAAGTCTCTCGAGTGGCCCCAGCTTTGGAGGCTCCCAGGCTCCCCTGAAGGTTCTCATGTGCAGCGTGGCCAGGAAGCCTTCCGCCCATGTAATTGCTCCCATCCCCTGTCAGTGTCTCGGATCCCAGCCCGTCACAGGCCTCGGGGCTTGGGTAGCTCATGTACAGACCTCCGCCCCTGCTGTGAGCATTTCCAAAATAACCTTTGATTGAATATTCACTTTCTATAACCAAATGCACTTTTCCCATGACATCACTCTCAAGACTAATAGTTTTTTTTTTTTCGGCCTGATGGTCAACTTAGACCGATACCATGGCCACTTCCTGGCTGGCATTTGGAGTGTATGTTGTTAAAACCCCTCAGGAATTGAGGTTTGTGTCCTTAACAGCATCCCGGTGGATGGAGAAGGCAGGCATGCACGGAGGCCAGACAAGATAAAAATGAGTTGTCCCTCAAAGAAGCAGGAGGCCAGGCCTCAAGATGGACAACAGACCCCCCCCCCAGCCTCCCCTGTCCTTACCACACACACACACACACACTACTTCCATCCTATAGTAAGGAGCAACGCGAGTTTTACTTAAATAAAA